GCAGCGCCATTGGCGCACGAAAGCAGTTTCACTTCCTGTCATGGCTCACACGGCTATCACACACCCGACGAAGATGATACCAGCGAATCCAGCTCGACTTCGCAAGCGCACAGCAACAGCAGCAGCAGCAGTGGTAGTGGTAGCAGTCGTAGCGCTAATAGACGTGAAAAGCGTGTGCATAATGATGGCACTGAAAGCGATACCAGCAGTGAGGAGTGCGTACAACTGATCGATAATGACACTGTGCAACACAATATACGCATTGAATATGCCGACTATGGTGGCTCTGAAGCGGCTACCGATTATGCTGATGTGCTATCGGAGAAGAGTGAGAACACCGATAATGCACTCGCCGAAGATGTTGTTGCTGGCGCTGTGCGCTTACGCTTGCCCAAAATCGATATACAGCCGCATTCGCAGGTAAGTAGTGAATTTTATTTTAAATTTATGTAACGAACCTTTTCAACCATACAAAAAAATGTCTGTGCGTCGCTAAATACGTGAAGCCCACCACACCCAGTTCGGATCACACTACAATTCCTCTGGATGGTTTTCTCGACGTACATCGCATGTCATTTGGTTCTGCTCCCAATTCCGATTTGACAACGGTCATACGCGAAGAGGACTCCGACGTTTCGAATGAGGTCTTCTCGCCGCCAACTTATGTAACACGCAGCTTGCAGCTACTTTATTGAGAAGTGTAATTCTCATTTAATTTGTATTGTAATTTTGTAGGAATCCATACAGCAGCCGACTTTGTTGCACACTTTAGTGGTTCCTGTAACTACGTCGTGCAGTCTGAATGTAAATGTTAGTGGTGGCAGCTCGATTATCTCTTCGAATTTGATTACTGATGGTGCCTCTGGTCGTCATCGTCGTCAGTCATCAGTTAATGCTGTTTCATGGAATGAAACTGTTTCGGTGCAATGCGCTCCGGATGAAAATACTGATCCCGCTGAAGAAGTAGGCTGTAAAGTTATTATGAGACTGGAACACTAGAAAATGTGGTTGACGAAGAAATGTGGTTTGGGAAAGCCTGTTTTTAGTGGCATACCTGCTACTTATTTAGCCATATTTGGCGATAAAGACTCTACCGTAGCAATTTCTAGCATTGTCCTGCAGATATGAAAGACAATCATTTCATTTCATTCAATTTTTCAGAGAATCGAAATAGCATTTTGTGGCCGTCTTCGATGCTCATTCCTACGACAGAAAAATTTAGATTTATATCCTTTGAAGGACTCCGACTCAAAACCGATTTGCTAGAAAGGTAATTATATTGGCAAATGGGCCCCTCTGGGAAATTGTCTCATCACGATAAGGAACATAGACATACGAGGTTGACAAAACCGACAACTCTTATTCAAACCGACACCAAGAGGAGGCCTGCATTAGCCGCCGCCTCTTCAATGCCCTGCAAGGATTGATTTCTAAGTGGCGCTAGATGCGAATTCCGTAGCTCCAGCCCAAACCAGAGCCTGTCCATCTTTCTTACATATCACATAAAATATGGTCACCCGTCTGCTTACAGCCTATAAAGGCTGTATGTTTATTTGGATCACGCTCATAAGGCGGTAGCCAAAAACCACCGGCCGCTCTTCTACGGATGAGATAACCGCTGGGAAGGATGCAATGTAAAGCAGCGCAGCACAGGACCTAGTTTCATTCGCCCTCTTTCCGCCGAAGACCTTGGTTGGTAGCCGTGGCCAAAACGCTAAATTTGACGAGGCAATCTGATTTCAGTCCTGTCTTCGTTTCATCGACACAAAAGTGGAATCTATCAGCCCTTTTATGCTTGTCGTCCTCGACATCGTTGTAATTTTTCCTTCAAAAAAACGCAAAACGCCTTTCCGCAAAAATACTGTAGTCAGCGCAACCGGAGTTGGACTGATGAACGTTATTTTTTTTTACGAAAAAATTACAAAGACGTCGACGACGACAACCTCACCAGGGCCATATCTTCTCCTTCCGCTAACATCCATAATACCTTTTCGATTGCCATCGCCGCATTCCGAGAGCTTTGCATTAGCTAGTAAGGAGGAAAGCCAGCAGATGATTGCTTCCCGACCCCAACGATTGTAAGCGGATGATTCGGCTCCGATAAACGATGGATGCTATCCAGAGTCCGTGGACCTGTCACAAATTCAGATGAATTTCCACCCGGTGGTATCACCTCTAGTAACATTTTCGCATTCTGCAGTTTTTCCCGACTTCAGTGGATATTCCTTCCCGTCATCATTGTAAGTCCCCTGACGCTCTAAGGCCATACGGATAAATCGCTCCAGTGGATTGTCGCCTTTTAAGGAAAGCATGAAGAGTATATTCTAAACCTCATGTACGGCAGGGCTAAAGCCTGCTAAGTTTCCTATTCGCATATTTTTACCATATTCACACGCTGTTATCGATAAATTTATCGTTGTACTTATCGATATAATAATCCGCATGATTGCTGAAACAATTATCGCAAACTTTGTCTATATCGATAATCATAGTGACATTGTTTTTGTTATCCATATTGCTATCGATATATTTAATTTACATCGTTATCGGTAACATTAGTGCGCATGTAACTCTAAAAATTTAAAATTATTATTATTCCACTGCCACGGCACGCTTGTCAGCCACCTTTTCACTTGCGTCCCAGTCTAATATTCTCTACTTCTTTATCTTTACGATTCGTAATAATAACTCATTTTAAACCATCAAGCCTTCGGTGGAACTGTCCGTCACCATGCGCCAGAAGTCGCTACATCGACGTCACCTGAGTTTGGGCAATGCTACATACCCCTTGGATGAGCAGAGTGTGCTGCGGGATAGCACGCGACGTGACAGTAGCGTGTCTTGGGCACGTGATGCCGCCACTCAACGTGCCAAAACACGTCCGCACAGTTGGGGGCCCGTTGGTACGGCCTATTATATGGATTCGTTGATGTCTGAACCAGTCGATACTAAGCTGCATGGACAATGTATTTGGAGATTAAGAATATTATTTTCTAACACTCTTAAGCATACATATATTTAAATAGATTTGTAAATTTTATGAATTGTACATAAGTTTGTATGTATTTTAAGACAACTTGTTTCAAAACAATAAAAGTTTTGCTAATTTAGAGAAAAAGTGATGCACCGCCTTTTGTAAATAACACAAAAGTCAATTTAGAAAATTTATTAATGTCTTTTAATTAAGTTTTTTTAATTACTACTAACAAAAGAAATGTACATATAAATGTACAAAGTTCTTTGTAAATAAATAAAAACGCATAGCGAAATGCGATAATTTTAGGTTAATATGTGACGTATGTAGTTGAAACGTGTCTTTTTTCGTGAAATTGATTAATTTTTCTTCTTAAAATAAATTAGAAAAAGTACAACTACACTTTTATATAAAACATTTTAACAATAGGTGCCTACATTACTGTGTATATTACCTGTGTCTTCTGACTTGAAGACCAAGCTCCGTCATTTATGCCGCGCCACTTCTTGTAATAAGCCTGGCTTTAGTAGTTGAATTTTATTATTGCCAGCACATTTGCATTTATTTTGCTTTTAAGCATAATTATCAGCATATTTCTTTTATAACACTTTATATATATATATATTTGTTTTATTATTATTATTATGCTTATTACGTTTGTGTTTTCTTCTTCGATTCCCTTTGATTTTATATTTTTAATATTTCTAGAACATGGTGCTCCAAGCAAACCGCACAAACGGAAAGAGATTAAGTTACACGGACCTGGTAAAATCCATTTGCTTTTATGCTCACATAATACCGAATTTGTTTTAAATTATGTATTAATTTAATATTTAATTATATATACACATACACATACCTATATACAATATTTATATTATTTATATTCATTTAGTACTATATTTGTTTACGCACATATCGCTTACATTTCAATCCAATTAAATTTCGATTTTTGTGCTAGTGAAGTATCCGTAATTGTTATATGTACACTTAAAAATTGGATTGCTTTTATGCACCTATACACATACATACATACATACATATGTACCCAGAAATTTATTTATATTTGTGTATTTTAGTTTATTTATTTTTTTCTACTTCCGGTCTTTAACGTAGTATGTCTGTGCCCGTTTTAGATTTATTTTAATTGCTTCTGCCTATGAATTTTGCTTGCTTGTTGTCCAAAAATATATATGTTCAAAATGTCCCTTATATGCATTTACAGTAAGATCGACAGACTTACAGTCATCTGTAAATATGTGAATTTCTTATGATTTCACCTTTATATCCAATATAATTTAATGGTTCCTTAACCCAGATTGTGTTAGAGATAATTTTAAATTCTATTAAATGTAAATACGCCCATAAATACTTAAAACTCATATATTTACATATATACCATTTTATTTTTCATACCCTCAAACTCAATGTTTCAGCGTGAGATAATGGACCCTATCCATATGACCTAAGCAAATACTTCTTTCTTAAAATTTCAGACTATTAACTTAATTTGTTCAAATAAATTTAAGTGAACGGTATGAAATTAAAAAAAAATCAATTGCTTAGTTTTTATGCATACGGCCCAATAAACCCAAAAAGAGCACCACTCAAAGAAATATGTAGCTCAAATATTGAAAATGAAGGAGGCGATGGTCAAAACGTACATATATTTGTCCACAAGTCTTGTAGTAGGCACAGTTTCCGCGCGCATGCCCGCTCCTATTTTCGAAACATTGATATGCTCTGACATTGTAGGAATTTTCGACATTCCTAAATTCATATCGAGTTAATCGTTGCCGACCTATGTTCCTTGGTCGCAGCCTGACTGTCAACAATCGGGGTTGGCAAGCTTTGGGCCGCATGTTTAGTTTTCTAAATGAGCCGTTAAAAATACAACTACAAAGTTACTAAAACTAAAAAGTCAAGGCTTAAACTATATTTTTATACATACATATGTATGTCCATATTATGCGATATGTTTTTGGACGGTTTCAAACCAATATTTCTCAAAAACGGAATAAATGAGTGGACAGATTCTGATTATACTGTTTAAGTATTTATGTATGCACATTTTATTGTTGAAAACTGAGTAAAGTATATAACTAGATGGCCCTATGTCTCGAAGGCGTGAATAGTTATGGCGTTTTCTTTTCTCCTAAAAATTTTGCCTTCTCCTTGCCCTTTCCCTAGTATTTGTGCGTAGAGGGCACTGAGAAGAGAATATTATTTCACATTAAGTATGTTAGGCATTCATTGAAATTAGAAAAGTTTTTTTTTACTTACAGTGTGCTACCGTTTAATTTGTTTTCCAACCAATATCATTCATCTTCCTCTAAATAATTAAGGATATGTGCATACATACATACATACATATGTGTGAATTACTAACTTACTTACATATTTCCATTTCATATTAATTATATCATAGCATTATTCACAATTTCACTACCAATTTGAGTTCATTATGAATAACGCAATTTTTATTTCCTCAAATAAAAAAAAAATTAAAAAATATTTATCTTTAAGTTTTCTTTTGCATATTTTTTGATTTTCCTAGATGCGCCCGACGCGCCTGTTGTCGTTGAACAATTAAGGCTGCCACACAAAAAAGGTTTAATTTACGTTCTTTTTTTTTAGTTTGAATACATCAAATAATTTTTGGTTGTTGTAAAGAGTTAAATGAAATTGGAAATTAAACCACAAAAAAACAAAGTATCGCAAAGCAAATTACTAAACTTCTGCGTGATTGGTTGCTGAGCCCCCAATTAAACTAACAAATGCATAGTTTTGAACTAAAAACTTATATTTGCAAAATAACTTTTTTAGCAGCGGCTGTTACACCCTTTAACTATATACCGTACTATACTACCTCATCATGGTGCGCAATAAATACTAGGCCCGGCTTCCCGCAATTAAATGGCTGAATCGTGCGCTCGGCTTATACATTATAATCCTTCTTATTAGTCGATTGTTTTACTAAAAAAAAGTTCTTTTTTTTTGGTGTACTGATCTGAGTATTTTATACTCGGCTTCATTTACAAGTCTGGTTCCGTACTTTTCAAGGTATTCTAACCATACCTACATATTTGGCTCTACTTATCTAACCTTTAAACATACATACATTAGTTGTTTGTATATATTTAATTACATATGTACATAACTATATGCATCACTAATCTTTTAATGAATGTTCGAAACTACTACTACTTAATTGTACAATTGTCTGGTGTTTGTTTTTCTGCTTTATTTGTACATACCTACTTACATATTTACTCTTACAATTTACATACTTATGTACTTACATATATATCGTGCTTTATTGTATTTAGTGGATTTTGTTTGTAAGCTTTGTTTTGTGAAACTAAGCAATTTTTTCCAACTCTCCTTTAATCATACGACGTTTTTAGCTGTACGTGCCGGAGATTATTACATGTTCGAAGATGTGGATGATAAATTCGAATTGGACGTAATCGATGATGAGCAAGATTTCCTATCGGAACAAGAAAGCGAAAAGAAATTGCAACGTCGTAAAACGGTCATAAATGTGAGTACAAAAAAAGATGGCAAACGCCAATTTATACTAATTTGCCTAAATAAATAAATAAAAGTATGCTAAGTAAGTATTACAAAGATAGCTGCATTGAAGAATAATTGATTGACTTTTAAACATGCATTATGTATACAAGTACATATGTAGCAGTTGAGCATATTGAATGTAGTTAATACAATTTTGAAGTTATTCAAATAACATTATAATATAGGGTGTTTCAAAAAGGTGTTCATATTTAAATTTTTAAAATAGCCCTACAATCCCATCATCGTTGACGATTCGAATTAAAACAAGTCGAAAAAGGAGGAGGTCATCAGTTCGTCGGAATATTTTTTTATTTTTTTTTTTATGTATGTTACGGCATAACTTTGGACCACGTCAACCGATTGGCATCTTCAAACCACTTAAAGGGTAATTCTGGCACAACTTGAAAGCTCTTTCCTGTCTTTCGAAAGACTAATTGAAAGATGTGCTAACTAACGAACTGGTTTTAGCGTTTTGCTGTCAGCCTTTTATCAATAAGTTTTTTTAAATTAAAATAAATCAAAAAAAATTTAATAAATAAAAGAAAATCAAACTAAAGAACTAAAACAAAATAAAATAGAAATAAAGCAAAAATAACTAAGAATATTTTTATTAATTAAAAAAAAAAAAAAAACAATATTACATTACATACATATACATTAAATCAAAAAAAAAAGAAAAAAGTTTGAAGAAAAAACTAAAAATTTTTTAAAACAAAATCTAAAAGTTAAAAAAAAATTTTTTTAAAAACACAAAAAACTAAAATAAGATCATACAAATTAAATTAAATAAAACAATAAAATTTAAAAGTTAAAAGAAAAAAAGAGAATAATAAAAGAAAAATATATTAAATTAAAAAAAGAAAAACAAAAACTTAAAAAATTAAATTTGTTAAACAATAAAACGTAAAAATCAAAAAAAGAATGAATCTAAAAACGAAAAAAGTATTAAAAAGAAAAATAAAATGAGTTGCTAAAAGTTATATAAAATAAAAAATAAATATTCTTCTATTTGAAACAATAGCATCTAAAAATTAAATCAAGAACAAAATACATGAAACAAGTTTATAAAAATTAAATGCAATTAACAAATATATATTTCTTTAAAAAAAATACAATCTAAAAATTAAAAGAGATCTCTTGCAAGGCACACCCGTGTTTTGCTCACTCGGCCATTGCGACTGTTGGAGCGACGCGGTCCAAATGATATTCAAGCATTCGGCTAATCATCCCACTCAGTAGCTGGCCCTTACAGGCTTCCACCTTTCAGTGGGAAATTTTTCTATAGGAATCATTACGGCCCCACAACGCAACCGTTAGATATTGGCCCGCTATCTCACTCAGCTTAGGAGTAGTAGCCGACGGCCTATCTAAGTGTATCGGTATTTTAGCTTGCCCGCTGCTCCTCAACTTAACCAAGCTTAAAGCTAACGGTTTTCCGTCACCGTGGCGCTCTCGTCTAGCGGCCTTCGAGGACGAGGATTTGTCTTCACTCAAACTGCTTTCCAGTCGCTTAGTAGCCGACCTCTCGCTTCTGGTCAATCGTTGTATTTTTAATTCGCCTCCCTCTTGTTTCTATTCTCCACTGTTGAAGTACTTCGAGTTGCTCTTGGCATATCGTTCGCTGTTGAGCTGCGCCCCATCTGACCTCATACAAAGCCTACCTTGCCCAGGCTAAGCACTCACTCTTCCGATATGTCGGTTCAACTACGTTTCCTAAACGTTACTCCATGCTGCGGACCGGTGTCAGGAGGGCTCCGTTGTGTGCCGCCTGATTAAAAACCGTCCAGTAGTCACAGTAACTCACATAGCACTCTAGGTTAGGAGGTTGGCAGTTCTCGGTCACTGTTCTCGTGGGAAAAGGTAGCGCAGAAACTATTGCATCAATTAACTACAGAAAGACTTGACTCCACTTGTAATTTCTAATTAGCGTCAGTTGATGCAGAAGAAGAGAAAGGTCTGGAGTGCCACATTAAACTCTGCTAATTCAATTAGGCGGTTACAGTGCCAAAAAAGAAAAGAAGAAGAGGATGATGAATTACTCGCGGCGGTACCCGTTCTCTTTTTACGAAACTGAAGTGGCGTACTACGTGAGCTTATATAAAGCCGTGATAAAACTTGTCATTTATAAATGAACCACCGGAAAGCGATGCAAGACTTTCTCGAATAGAAACTATTATAGGATCCTTCTTTCAGAGGTACTAACCAACATTTTCTCTTGATAAGCATATATTTTATTCTTTCATCTCTTACGAAATCTGAAACGAATGTTTTTTTTGGAAAATGCAAAAATATGCTCTTATCTTTTGGTCATATTACCGACTTCCGGTTTCTACCTGAAATGGGTTAAAATGACCGGAAGCTTTTATCACAGATTCAAATTCTGCGGACAAAAATATGTGACCTCTAAATGACCTTCCAACTTCAACTCGTCCTGGACTGTTCAAATGTGCGAAAATATTTTTACTGGAAAACGAAAAAATAGTCGTACATGTTCTAACTTTTAGACATATTACTTTCGGTTTGGATCGGCCAGTTTAACCGACTTCCCGCCTTGGTAGGACATATTTTTGCGTTTTCCAATGAACAACCATTAACCATTAACTTCCATTGCAGAAGGGGTGGACCGGTGTTCTAGGACGCCCTGTATAGTAAGTGAGATACTATTGTTCACATGCTGTTTTTTTTTTTAAATATTCTCAACGTTTTTCAAGTTAAATTTTAAAGTTTCAAACTTTATACAAAATTAAGGAATACTCACCAAACGTTCATAAAAATTTCGAGCTTTTAATCCGTGTTGATTTTTAATATTTTTTTTGCTGACGAAATTTTTATGAAATTTTGTTTTATTTTGTATATAGTTTAAAACTTTAATTTATATGGGTTTGGTAAAGCATGAGCAATATTTTTATAAAACATATAAAAAAAATTACTTGAAAAAAATTTGTAAACAAGTAATTTTTTAGCAAAAAACAAAACCGACTATAATTCTCATATAAACATTTAAGAGTACCGTTAATTTCTTCATGATCCAATGATCGGATTTAAACCAAATTTGTATGGGGCCACCTGTGATGTACCACCTTTCTTTTATAAAAAGAATTATAGAAAATTGATTAACGTGGTCCAAAGATATGCGGTATCAAACATAAAAAATATATATATCCCGACGAATTGATAACCTTCTCCTTTTTGAACCATTTTAATGTATTCAAACACCCCTTGTTGAAACACCCTGTATAGGTTTAAGTAACACATGCTAATATTTTTACCTGAATTGAATTTATTTAATACTTACTGCCCTCATTCGGATGCTTTTCAAAATTAATTCAAATTACACAAACACACACACACTTACAAATGCACACACAAATAAACGTATTTTTGGAAATACATACAACTAATGCATGACCAAACCAAAAAAATATAAAAAAGGTTTGGAAGGACATACAAACTGCCGAATTTCGTCGTCAAGTCTATATGCGTCAGCGTTCATACGCTTCGGCGCCTGGTTCCCGAATTGGCATTAAAATCGATGAAGAATTAGATACGGAAACCGAAAATGAGGCTGGTGTGCGTACATCGACGTTATCCGAGCCGCACGATTACTCTGTACCGCCGCGTTCGGCTAGCGAATATTTTGTGAGTGTAGTAGTACGAGTACTTACGTACTCGATGCGTTGATGAAATTTTTGTTTGAAAGTACTAGTTAGCCAATCGATGTACATAGATCGCTGTGACGCACCCGCCCTTCACCGAAAAAATTGAAATGAAAATCGCTGTATATACCACATTTATGATCAGAAAAAAAATGAACGAATTTCACGAATTAGTCATATCGAGCCCTAACCGCCAAAATAACGTAAGCGACATTTTTTTCGAAATTTTCTTTTTGATGCAGAAATATTCCTAGAGCATGTCTGCATCAAAAAGAAAATTTTGAAAAAAATGTCGCTTACGTTATTTTGGCGGTTAGGGCTCGATATTTGTCCTTTGTCTGTGTGTAGTAACAGAATTTTTTGCTTTCTTTATTTATATAGAAGAATCATTTATTACCGGAGTGCTATAACTGTATGGCATAAAAAGTTCCAGTTTTTGTGCGCGAAACGTGCTGTTAAGTTCTTATAACGTCACTAGTTTTATTGCAAATATACATATACTAACCAACCCACATTTACACTTACACCAAAGAATTTAACTAAAAGCACAAACTGAATTAGAAAAATCGCAGCAAAAACAAAAAAAAAATCACATTTTAATCACTTCTAAATTATATAAAAAATATATTTGCTTCCACTTGCTAATAGCACCATAAACCCACAAAACATATTCACCTTAAAAAACAATTCTATCACCTTTAGTTAAAAATATATTTGTATGTTTAGTATATACCCCAAAGTAGATTTTAGACACCTAATATTATTCACATTTAGCATAATTTGTAAACCCAAATCTTTTATATCACTTTTTTTATTTAACATTCACGATATCTTCTAAAGGCTGGTTTTCACTGTATATTGTTACATATACATACATGTTGACGATCGAAGGCGTATTCTGATCTAAATCAATCCATAGATCGTTTTTAGTCCCATTTGTCAATGTGTTTTCACATATTAGACGACAAATACCATTGAATTTGACACAGTGAAAACTAACCCTTAGTCCTTCAAAAAGTGAATCTACGATCAGCAGGTTCGTTTAGAGCGTAGTGCCACGTCAAAACAAAAAAGAAGGAACCGAATGATGACATTTACGGCTTATTATAAGAAAAACGCTCCATGCTTACAACGGAGCTCCTCAAGCGACTGATATCCATTCCCGAGTGCGTCCCAAGGTGCTTGAATCTTAGGTTCCCAAATACTGGGCACCAAAGCAACAGGTGTTGAGATGATTTCATCTCAATATTCTCCATGCAGTTGTCGCAGTAAAAGTCATCAATGATATTCAGCCCTACCGCATGCTTACCTATCACGCAATGACCAGTTAGAAATCACACCAATAGCGAGAGGTTTGACTTACATAATCTCAAGAGCTCCCACCATGCATTCCATATGTCCAGTAGTACACCACACGAGGTCAGGGGAGCACCCAAACTTTATCTAACTGGGAGAACTTTCTCAAGACTTCCCTGTGTTGCCAGCTCATCGGCCATGTAATTTCGTACGATTTTGCTGTCACCCGGCACTAATCGAGCTCAGTAGAAAGTACTATTCGTCGCTCGTATGAGCGCTGCCTTTTATGGCCACTTAGGTAACTTATCATATAGAGACCTTTGCCATACGTAGTGTTAATAACTCGTTGAGACCGCATGTATCATACCTTTAAGCACTAGATGTTGCGAGTCGCTTAAACAGAGGGCAGTTACCATAGCGCCTAATTGTATGTAATGCCTGCTTAGCTTTCGACTGGTAAATTTCGGTAATTCTGCTTTTGAAACATTTGCTTAGGAAACATTTAGTACATCCTCGCTAGTTCATCCGCTGTGCATGTCCTTATAACCTGGCGCCCATATAAGGATAATTTCGAACTGGTCAGCAATTGTGGCCACCTCTCTCCACTCTCCAACGTCTTGCTGAGAAAGAGAAGAGTATCTGAATGTGCTGCGTGATTGTATAGCCAAACAATAAACGGCGTGAGTTCCAGGTACTCGTGAATTTTGATGTGTCAACATCTGAACAAGTGCAAATGATCCGGATCTTGACCCAAACTAAACCCGAAAAGCTCCTGAACTAGACCCGAAAAGTTCCTGAACTAGACAGTAAAAGATCTTGAACTAGTCCCAAAATTATCCCGAGAAAGTTCCAAACTAGTCCTGAGGAAGTATTTAACTAGTCCAGAAATGATCCCGAACTAATCCCAAACTAGACCCAAAAGGTCTCGAACTAACTCCGAAATGGTCCCCAACTAAACCCGAAAAGGTCTTGAACTATTCTCTAGATTTTCCGAAAAAGTTTCAAACTATGCCTGTAGATGTCCAGAAATGGTCCCGAAAAAGTCTGAAACTAAATATATATAAATGAACAGTGTTGCCAGAACAGCTAATTAGATTTATTTTTATTTGTATTACTTTTGTATCGTGCTGGTTTACGCGGGACGGTTTACACAGAGCAAAAATGTTTACACATCAAAAAAGTTCGGGGATCAGACTATCCTTTCCTTATTAGTTTAACTCTGAATTCCGCTGAGTTGTTAATGAATGAATCCTTAGTAAAAGCTGTAGTGCCGAGCACTCCGTATGCGTTTAGGTCGCTGCATAGCCATGTATCCCACCAACATATGTATGTAGATCCAGTTGAGTTCGGAGTCAAAATCACTCCCAAAATATTTAACAGTGTGTTATAGATCCAGTACCGGGTGTAACTCAGATTGGACAGTTAGCTTTAATATTTTTTACCAAAAATCTATAGTTAACTGCCGAGCGTGTGAATTAGCTTGTCATTGTAAAAGACACTAAGCGAACACTTCATGGCCATGGTATGACTGAAAGAAATCAACTCGATACAAGTAAAGCTACACTGTCGGCATAAGTCAACACTTTGATAGCTTACTCATACCTCAGAAGAATTTCGAAACATTCCAACAACACAATTTTGAGAATTAATTTTAAAATATTCATAAAAATAGCATACCTACTTAACCTCACCATACCAACCAGCACCTACTTAATCTTTTGTTACCACTATAATCTTGTAGTAGAGCGGTTTTGGAAGCAATTTCTCCAGACAAATTCAAATATTTATTTAAAGCAAATAATTGTCTTATAATAATTTACTAGACTGACATAAAACGCAAGTCCGAAGTAACTCCATCAACAAGCAAGGAAGCCAAAGAGGCATCCGAATTGGAGGAGAAGAAGAAAAAGAGCGATGTAGTCGACTCTGAGGACTCTGAAGATGGTAAGTAAAGGAAAAGAAAAAAATTGTTTATAGTGAAAAAATTATCTTATAAAATAAATCGGTTTTAAAATTAAATTTTAAATTTCGCTCCTTTATTTTAGATTTGGAGGCAAATCCCATAATTCGTCTATTGGAAGGTTTCCTAGTATCTCTGACAATTGGTTTACATCGCTTGTCACGCAACTATCGTTATGTAAATAAAATTATGTCGAATGAGAAGCGCTTGCTTAAGGTATTACATATATTATTGCATAAAATTCACAACACAAATCTTTTAATTATTTTTCACCCGTTTTCTTTGCAGGAAACTCATAGCGTCAATTTGCTGATACGACCAGCCGCCAGCACAGTCTTTGTCAATATTAAGAATTTGTCGCCAAGGTAATTTAAATTAAAAAAAAAGAAGAATACTAAGCGATTATATCCTCGTCAAATAGCATATTATGGCTTGTTGTTTTTGTGATAAATTTTGCCTGCTTAAATTTTCGTATGCTTTATTGATCGTTTAGTTATTTGAAAGCGTTGGTTTGTCGTCCGAAATGAATTCCCTGTTTAGCATTTGAATACTTTTTACAGAAAGTTTTGGTTATTGCATTTAAATGTTGGCTGAATTGATCAAATAAATTATATGTGCATACATACATATACATATATAGTCATTCCTAGAATCATGAAGACTTTATCTCATATAACAGCGCATTTAGTTTATAGTTGTATAAGGGGATTCCCAAAATCGTACGCGAAGTTCTCTTAATGAAAAGCGGCGAAGGGCATAGATTTTCAGAATGCCACTGCTGTTAGTATAATTTTTGTTAAAATAGTTGCTAATAAAAAAGGCAACATAAAATAACGAAATAAGCCGGAAAAAGGAACAAAAAATTGGAAAAAGGCAATACAAAAATCAAACTTATAGTGCGTTATGCTTAAAAGGCAAGCTATTTTAAATCGAATGAAAATGGTAGCGATTATACACTATCGTCTAACACGATAATTACTTATGGCCCTTTCAGTGTTGTCGCTATACCACCCTTTGTCTTAGAGACCCTCCTTGATTAGGCACGCATTCCCAAAACGTTCGTGCCGTTTTTTACTTACGAGCTCCTTTCATCGCTGTTATCTCCTCGTTTGGAACACACGCTGGCCTTAACCTATCGATGGGCACCGTGGTAGGCTTGGCCTTAACGTGAATGGTAAATGTTTTAGAGTGGCGTTCCCGTACCTCAAAAGGACCTTCATATGGAACTTTCAATGGTGTCCCGGTAGCCCAGTTCCGAGATGGATGCTCCTATATCATCCTTCGCCGTGTTTTTCTTTTGAATATGATCCGTCGAATCATGTTTCTCACCCAGGGAAACCCAACTAAGCCATTAGCTTGGGGATGGTAAGCTGTGATCCGCAGATGTTTAATGCCGAGAATCCGAGCCATTTCATTAAACAAATCGCTTTCAAATTCGATGGTTATTTATTTATCTGCATATCCAACCGCTAAACAAAGCTTTAGTTACGATTTCCGCTGTTTACTGGGTAGTGGATTAACTTCCACCCCTCTGGAGTAACTATCAATGCAGGTGAGACAATAGGTGTAGCCATTTGATTGTTAATTTGCTCGAATCGTTTATCCGTCACTGAAAATGTCTGATGTTCACAACATGTTTACAACACTGGCATTGCTGTCAATTCTTCACCAATGCTCGTATGTTGTGCTTCATGCCCTTCTCCACGAGTTGCGATCGGTTTTACGGTGCTTTCGAACGGCAAAAGGTTGTAATGAGGAGAAGCTTATGTCAAGGCAGAAACTCATCGCCTGCCTACAGCTATTAGAGAAAAGATTTATTTGGATGTTGCTCTAACCAGGGATCGAACCTTAGGCATACCTAGTAGCAGTCCGCACCTCTAACCACTCGACCACGGCAGCAGCCTGCAGCTCTCAAATTAAAAAGAAAAGTTAGGGACCGATATACATAAATCAATGAGTTGAGCATAACGATATACTTCGTTTTTGGGGGAAAGAAGAACTCCAGGTTTTTTTTTATATATATGTCGGAAAATCCTCTGTTAGATCTTTTATAACTCCTGTTATCCTTGACCTTCGTTGGCTGAAAAATGGCTTTGAAATTTTCCAGCCCCACTTTGGCAGAAGAGCCCTGCGCTTCTATAAGCATTTTCTGAATATTATCCAATATTTAAACATTTCTTTTTTTGCAACGCCATTTTCGAATATGGAATATGTGACACTGTTTCCCAGAGCGACAGCTGTTGGCATACTTTCCAGCTTTAATTAACTCCAGCCGTTATGGAATCCATACCTAATATAACGTTTTGCAAAAAAAAACGTCCGGCTTCACAGGTTTAAAATTAGTTTATATACATAGCATTTAGTATCCCCAAACGATCCAACCAGCGCTTAAAGAATTTATTTTAATTAATTTATCACATACCTGAATGGAAGATCGACCTATCTCTCGGCAGTCAGTTCCAAGACGCCCTACCTCGTAAAAGTTTTCAAGAACACGCTACTTCAGAATTTGATTGAATAACGCCCTATTTCAGAATTTAATTAAAAAAAAACACCCTATCTCACAATTTGGTTCAAAAACGCTGAAAATACATTGAAAATGTGTTAAGATAGGCGGTTTTGAATCGACAGCTGAGATAGGCCGTTCTGCAACCGAATTCTAAGATAGGGTCTTTTTTAATAAAATTCTGAAATAGGCCATTATTCAGTCAAATTCTGAAGTAGGGCGTTCTGGCTGCCAAGATATGTACAGTCGATCTTCCACTCAGGTATCGATATTAGTTATTTTCGTTAAAAAAAAAAACAAAATCCTATCAAATCCAATATTAAGTTTGACGCATTTATTACGTTATCCTAGCATAAAATATTTAGTTTCAGTTCATGCCTTATTTATTTTCATTACCTTTCTTATCTCCTTCTTTTGCATATATTTGTTTCGTTTGTGCCACGTACACTCCTCGCTCGCTCGCTGTGCCGTGCAATTCTTCATGAACATCACGCCATCGCCACCACGAAACCACAACACGTTTTGTTTTTGTTTTTTTTTTTAACTTCACCTCTTTTTATTTCGTAAACGTTTTTATACTTTGCTGTTTGCCGTTTCACATTGCATCGCCATTATTAGTGATGAGAATGCAGATCCTGCTGGCTCGATTGGTTCTGCTTCGATTGATACACAAAACGAAACGAACACACGACCATTGCCACATAGTATAACGAATGTTACCGATTTGAATACCATCACCTCAGACACCTCCCCACCATCATCGTTACCGCCACTCATAAACGATACACAACCAGATCGGCAACAACAATCAGAACTGCAACAGACAGGGGATCCACATGCCATTATTGAAATGTCAGTGGATACTGTCGATGAGCGAAATGATAGGTAAAGTGGAGTTTTTCAGAGAAAAAAAAGCGACGAGAATGGCTTGATGATATACACTCTTGATTGCCTTTTGAATAATAAAGAAGTGCAAGCAACACAAATTTTCAAGCCATTTTCGTCTGCGTACACGAATTGCACATTAGCTCATACGTAGTGTTATGTTATGTACATACATATGTATACATTAATGTGTCAGCTAATTTTTTTTTATATTTCGTTATTTGTAGTTGCTTTAAGTACTGTTGCTATTTTTTTATTTAAAACTTTTTTTTTACCTAACCAACTTCTCGATCGCTCTCTCTCTCTCTCTCTATATATATATATATATATATTTACTCATATTTCACTACTAACCCCTAATCATTTTCTCATAACTCTCATATCTTTTGTAGACACGATGAGGAAGGGCATGTATCAATACAACGATCGTAAGTAACTATATAACAAAAAACGATTTGTCTTGTGCTTGTCTCAAAATCCATTAACCACTTTCCAAGAAAATTTATAAATTAATATCTACAACTATAAAGAATGTAGCAACCGAATGATGAATATTTTTCAATATTCTTTTTTATTGATATTACTCTTTTCCGAATCCTATTAATACAAATATTATTAGTTACTTCGTTTATATTAAAGCTTTAATAAAAAAAATAATTCCCAATAGCGCTAAGATATTTGCAACGAGGTCTGTCTAAAAGTATGCTTAGCAAAATTAAAAAAAGAAACCATTTGTCTAAAATCTGAAGCACGCATGAACGCTTTGTTGAATGCCCAGTTTGACTAAGCATACTTTTACGCGTCCCCGCGCGAGCCGGTTTTCGGCCTTTCGCCCAACACGTTGTCTCCACCGTATGGGAAATTTAAATTTTATATAGCTATACTTTAACACTCCTGAAATGCCAATTTTTCCTACGACACCAACAAAAACACAAACACGCACACAGCCAACATATTTATACATACTTACTTAGGTGCATATGTATGTTTTTATGTACAAAAAAAATTTGCTGTGTGCGCATTTCCTTTATCTACTACTACAATATTTTCCCAACCACCCACCTAACATCAGTCATAATTCGGTAGACTTGCCAAAGATTTGCATTAAGGCACCTTCATTCGATTGCAGTAACAACTATGTGGGGATGTTGAGTAAGCAATGGTCATATGAAAAGATGGACAGGTAGATATATACATACATATATGCATTAAATATCAACATAAAGTTTAATCTGCAAAAACATGAAATATTATTTTTACGCCATAGCCATGCTAATTTGCTTGCAAGAAAATAAGAAAAAAAATTGCATTACAAGCATTTTGTTGTAACGAAATTCACTTTAATTTCAACATTGGGCGATTTTTCGCACGACTTTTGCATTTGTTTCTGATGCCTTTGGTTGTTAATGCAACTTTTTGAGAACTTTTCTTCTTTTATTTCTAAAGATTTCTACAAACTGTTTCTCTATTAGGCATGATTTGAAAGTTAGACACGACACCCACGAAAAATTGGCTGAAAAAAAGAAAAAAAAAAACAAAATACTAGTTATTATAATTCCACTTACATACAAAGATTGAGAAAAGGAAATTTTACAAAATAGGATTACCTCGTTTACTTATTTAGCTTTCTTACTAACTTCGCACAACCGTTATAACTAGTCATATGAATATGAGTCATCTGTCTATTTAAAAAATCAAAATTCTTTAGAATCTTCAAAAATCGTTTAAGCTGAAGAAAGTTACATTTCTCTATTACAGATATATGGCTCATGCAAAATATCCAGCGCTCAAGAAATGTAAAATAAATTGATTGGAATGATTTGAAAAAAAACTTCTTGAGAGCTGGAGGATACTAAAGCCTAATTTCCACTAGACATGGAAATGATGAAAAATGTGTGCCATTCGAAAAATGCCATGTGGAAACGAATTTAATAAAAAATATTTCTTAACGTAATGGCACAGGTATTTTTTAATGCCCAACTTTATCATTAAAATTTATGTCATTTAATGTCTAATGGAAGTCCGACATAAGCTATAGGTTACTTGTGAATTTGCAGCGCATGAAGCAGATTTATTTCCTTTATCTTATAGCTATTTTTAGAGTACTACTGTATACTATTTCGTTTCGATTCTTAATTTGAAAAAAAAAGACTTAATTGAGAAGCTTAGCTTTTATTTCCAAACTTAAGGTGATAAGTTATTATTTTATCTTCATTACCAGTATATCATTACATAGAAACGTTATTTTTTCTATTAAATTAGCATTATTTTAATTATAACAATTTTAAATTTATTTATTTTATTTAAATTTTTCGATAATTAATTTTTTTTTATTTACATAACTTTCTCTTCACTGATTGGATTTGATTTCTTTTGACTTGATTTGATGTGATGTCGTAGGTCTGATATGATTCAATTTGGTTTGATTTTATGTGATTTGATTTGATATTGTGCGAGGTGTGTTATATTGTATGATATTAATTTGATTTGATATCTGATGTGACATGATTTGATATTGTGTGATGTCTTGCATTATGTTATGACATGCGTTGATATCAATTGATATTGTGTGATGTGATTCCATTTTATTTGAAGTGGTTTGATTTGACTTCATTTCGTGTGATTTGATGAACATATGGGATATCGAATCGACTTAACTTGACTTGACTTGACTTAACTTGACTTGACTTGACTTAACTTGACTTGACTTGACTTAACTTGACTTGACTTGACTTGACTTGAGTTGATTTGATTTGACTTGACTTGACTTGACTTGACTTGACTTGACTTGACTTGACTTGACTTGACTTGACTTGACTTGACTTGACTTGACTTGACTTGGCTTGACTTGACTTGACTTAGCTTGACTTGACTTGACTTGACTTGACTTGACTTGTCTTGACTTGACTTGACTTGACTTGACTTGACTTGTCTTTACTTGATGCGATTTGATAGCGTATGATATAATTTGATTTGATGTCATATGTCTGGATATATATTCTGACTTCATTTCATTTAATGACATTTTGATTTGATTTTGTACGATGTGATGTGATTTGGTGTGTGTTGATGCACTAATTTGAAGCATGTGATATTATGACTCGTTGTGATGTGATATCATAACATATGATTTGACATTGTGTCATGTGATATGGTATGATTTGATCTGATTTTATGCATATGATATTTTATTGATATGGTTTGATTTGACATTATGCGATGTGATGCGATTTAGTTTAATTTGATTTCGATTTTATTTGATTTGAGTGACATTGCAAAAAATCTAAGCAAATGTCTTTACTTAAAATTTCAGACCTTTACCTTGAATTGTTAAAACAAATTTAAGTGAAAGGTATGAAATTTTAAGAAAAATCAATTGCTTATACATGCATATCATCTTTTTTCTCATATATGACATATGTACAACATCTGTGCAAGTTTCTCAATAATTCTTAATTGTTTCAAATTAAGATCGATTTGTTTTCGTTTGATTCCGTTCTTTTTTATGATTTTAACATTTTCCACCTCTCCATTGTAATAGCCACAGCCTGGTTATGCTCGAAGAGGATTTCACAGCGCGTGAGCATCACATCATCATCGAGTTCCTCATTTCCCTTTGGTATGCATTACTCTCGAATACGGACATAATTTGCTATCTGGTGGTGTTTATTAATCAGGTAATATTAAAGTTAATTAATTCTAGCCCGTAATCATGCTTTCCTTCCACGTTTACTTTCCTTTCCTTTAGGTGGTAAATGCCAGCATTATTTCTTTGCCTCTACCCCTAATGGTGTTCCTTTGGGGCACACTCTCATTGCCGCGCCCAACGAAAACATTTTGGGTCACACTCATTGCTTATACACAGGCGATTGTGCTGATAAAATGTATATTCCAATACAAATTGATTTGGGCCAATTACATTAATCTGCCGAATGATCCATTGGCGCCAGCAAAAATATTCGGCGTTGAATTGAATCCAAATTATGCCAGTTATGATTTATTACTACTGCTGGTGCTATTCTTTCACAGGTTAGTGCGCACAATTGGCGCTTTATGTAGTTAAGTATGTATGTGTATTTGAAATCTTGTTCCGTAGATTCATTTTAAAATCGCATGGTCTCTGGAAGTCGGAATACAAGTTCCCACGCGGCACAACATCAGTCGATACGTAAGTTATCTCAATCACATTCCGCGCGATATACCATTTTAAAAGCATAGTCATTAATTTCAATTTATTTATTTTAAGAGGTATGGTAATAGCATGGGAATTTTTAAACTCAACGCATATCTGATTTTAAATCAATTGAAATTTCATCTTTTTTAACTAAATTATTAGCAAGCGTTTTCATTACCGAAGAAGAAATTCAAATTCGTAAATCTATGCACATTTTAAAAATTCAAAGAAGGTATTTTAGTTATGGTTTTAAAATTCATTGGCTTCACATAAATGGAAATATAAGCACATTTACACAAAATTTGTTCTCAATACTATTCAAGTTTACTAAATTTAGTCAGCAGTAGTGGTAGTTTACATATTTACCAGAGAAGTACATATCGCACATTTGCTCCAAGAGTGTCATGATTCAAAAAAAAAAAAAATTTTAATTAATTAAGTATGCAGAAATGACATCCTTCTCTTCCTCTATGTTGTGTGAAAATTTCAGAGTTGTAGGGTAAGTAAACTGTAAACTTAAAGCTGTTTTTCTCGAGTTATTGATTTTGGATTGTGGCGCTCTTGCCGCAAATCTGCGATATGCAGTTAACTGTTTTGCTCAAACTACTGGGCAGGTTCTAAAAGACTCAAATAATAAACTTAAAATACAAATACAATTAGTCGAATTGATTAATTCATAACACACAAAAATTGCATTTTTAATTTTTTGCGAAAAATTTAAGCTTTGATTTTTTTTTTATATAACATATAAGTATGTATGTATATATGTATGTATTTTTACACAGAACACCTGAGCTAGGAAGTGAACAGCAATTGCAGGACAGTAACAACAAAGAAAGTCCCATTAACGAATTAACTGCTGACGTTAATGGCGCTCAAAGAAGAAAAGCCATTACAGATGTCGGAGATAGTTCCATGACCGAATCAAGAACTGACACTGATAACAATGCCAGACCAGAGGAAACGGATGGTGTGCGAAGAAGAAGCCCTCGAAATCGACATAGTGATAATCATGAAACTGATTCCGCACGCGATAGCAGAGAGAACGTCACTGAAAATAATAGAAAAGAAGGTGGCGCTGAGCCACAGGATGGCACACACTTGATTATCAAAAGAGATGCTGCCGAAGATGGTGATAGAAGAAGTCAAGCGAGTGTTATGAGTGCTAATGCATATAAGCAAAAGCTGAAGCATTTAAGGTAGAAATTCTGAAATTTTTGATGCATTCCTCTGTTTAATAATATTAATTAGACCATTTACTTCGTATAGACGTGCCAAGTACTTGTCATCTGTGCGAAAATTCTTTACGAATTTGTTATCAAAATCTCGCCTGCCAGCTGATGTATATGCGCTGATGTTCCTCTGCGATTTCGTCAACTTTTTCGTGCTACTTTTCGGTTTTACTGCATTTGGTGTAAGTTAATTGTAAATGCCTTTTAGTGCAGAGACATTTTTTTTATAATTTGTAGTAGTAGTGGTGAGCACAGTTTTGGGGGTTGGGTAACAAATTGTGACTTAAATGTTGCATGAAGTATAGCTTGCAGTTTTATGCAACATTCTCGACAAGCGACAACTATTTGAATTCTTCAGAAGTTTTTTAAAGTGAAGCGGAATTACGAGTGGTGTGCTGTGTGTGGTAAGAGCTAAGACATTAAAATTGGGCTTCACACTTGGAAATGCGGCGTTCCATTACTTGAATGTTCGCGTGTTTGCGTAAATCTTTTTAATTCCTTTGACTTCATTTGAAGCTACCACAACCAAGTATTTTTAAATGGACGCCTTTGTTACCCGAATAATACCTGAGTTTCGAATCTCAGTACAGAGTAGACTAGGTTATGTTGGCTTTAAGATCATCGGTCGATTGCGTTTTATTGTTGTTTTATTATTGTTTAAAAAATATATATATTTTATTTCATTTGATTTTTAGGATCCTATTTTATTTTTTGTCTTTTTTTATTCAAATAGAATAACGCTAAGACCTCGTCGTTAGTCGATTTTTTCGAAAAGCTGAGTTGAAGCACAGTTGCCAGAATTGCCCTGTATGTTACGAATTTTGTCGAAGTGCTGATTTTTACTAAACATAATATTTTGTCTAACGCTGTAATATTTGTTTTCAATTTCTATTCCATTTATTGTGAGCTATTTGACAGATTTTGTATAAATATGGATTCGAAATGATACTCATTATCATTTTGGGATGAATTAGGATGAATTTACCCAACATGAATGAATCTGACCCGGGGTCACCTACTCGGGAAGGGCTATATTAATTCTTTTACTGCTATTCAGTTGTTGCGCAGCCACAAAATTATACTTAGAGCATTGAGATAGAAACATGTAAATAATAGGCTATTCAATTACTCGCATTTTTGAAAATTACAATTTGCAAAAAAATCATTTTCAATTTTTATATTGTTCATATTTTGATCGGTAAAAATGGTAATTTTTTCATACAATATGCTTATCTGTATTTTTATACTGCGAGGAGTGGGTAAAACATTCCTTTAATTTTCTTTATATTTTACCTTCAAGTCCAAATAATTACTTCTTGCCTTATCTTCACAGTCTCAACAATCTGACAGCGCCGGTGGTGTACAAACATATTTGGAGGAAAATAAAGTGCCAATACCCTTCTTAATCATGTTGTTGGTGCAATTCATATTGATCGTAATCGATCGTGCTTTGTATCTGCGTAAGGCTCTGCTGCATAAAATCATTTTCCATTTCCTCTCCGTTATCGGCATACACATTTGGATGTTCTTCATTGTGCCTGCAGTGACTGAGCGCAGTTTCTACTCATTGGCGCCGCCAATTATTTTCTACATAATCAAATGTTTCTACATACTATTGTCGTCATATCAAATTAAATGCGGTTATCCCAAACGTATTTTGGGCAATTTCCTAACAAAAGGTTTCTCGCTAGTCAACATGGTGGCCTTCAAAGTGTAGGTCTCACTCTTAGATACTCTTTAGATAGATACCATAACATTTATTTTACCTCCACAGCTACATGGCCATACCATTCTTATACGAGCTGCGAACAATACTTGACTGGGTATGCACGGACAGCACAATGACACTCTTTGATTGGCTAAAAATGGAAGATATATTTGCCGATATATATTTCATTAAATGTAGTCGACAAATGGAAACTGATTTCCCCGCCATACGCGCCACTAAAAAGCCGATACTTACCAAACTACTCATGGGTGGCCTATTCATTATAGCCATTGTGATAGCGCTTTGGGGTCCTTTGTGCATTTTCGCATTGGGCAATGCTGTCGGTCAATCGAATATACCCTTACAAGTGAGCATTTCTATACGTATCGGTTCGTATGCGCCCATCTATCAAACGAATACACGTGATAATATTATCGCTTTCGATGAGTCAATGTACGGTGACATGAAGGGTGCTTATGTCAAGGATCGAGCGGCAATAACGTTCCTAAGCAGCTATGATGCAACTGATATTGCAGCTATTAAATTGCCAGGAAATTCGCCTTCGCTATGGAATATCTCACCACCAGATCGCAATCGTTTGCTGGAAGAGCTGAAAAGTAATGGCACAATTGTGGCTAGCTTTGCCTATTCAATTACACGCATACCGCCTGACAAGAGTTTAGTGGGTACTGTTTCGAGCGAGATCGTCTTTAATATGAACGAAACGTTTCCTGGTCGAGAAAACTTGATCAACATGTTGGAATCAAATGGCACCGCTTCATCGAAGGTTGTGAGCTTGCCCGATTTGGTGCCTAAATTTATTAAGGTAATTTCGGCTACAAAGTGAAAAGATTGCATTTTACGTAATA